CCAATGATTTTCTATCAAATTCAAAAATAATTTTCCTTTTCTGGAAAACTTATTTTTTTTAGTTAAGTCACTTTGAAGTAAAAGAACAAGATATATATGTATCTAGTTTTAAAAATAAGAACATTGCATAAAGGATTACTGGAAAAAAGATGGTTACACATATTGGAAATATGATAGAAGTTACTTATTTTCTTATTATTCTTCATATATTACCTTTATTTAAATCATTAATATTTGAGCAATTTATTCAAATTTTTTATACAATCAAATAGACGTTAATTTCCAATTTGAAACTTAGACATTTCTATTTCGAATTTAAACACTTTTAATTTATTACACATAGTTTATTCGAATTTTTTATGTCTGTACTTTATTAGCAACGAAACAGATTATAAATTGCTCGAACTTACTCTTGTAAAAAAAAGATATCTTGCATGCACCATCACAAATCCTTAAGAGAATAGAGCTGTAAGTATCTCGCAAAATTTAAGGCGTTCTTACGAGAGAAAAATTCCAATGAAGTCGAATTTATCAAACACTTAATGTTGTAATCTATACGAGTTACTCCGCTCATTTTTAGCCTCTTACCTTCAGTCCACCCTCTTTATCGAGGTACAGTCGAGGGATAGAGATCGGAGGAAGCGCCTGTGATTTTTAAGTATCTCAGGCGACTATATCAGGGAATAAAACAAAAGGAAAGAGAAAAGGGGAAGGAATCGAAGTCCACACTAAAATACCGATCTAAACGGTGGAATCTTCTTTGATACGTCCTTCCATAATCCTCTAAGATGTACATGCAACACATAGTAATTTATTTTATGAAGCTTTTCTAACGTGCACGTTGAGGTCATCACTTTCTCCCTTTATATCGATCGGCGTGGTGGGCCTCCTACCGACGCTCATAACCCGTAATAACCAAGAACGACGCGGGGGCGACGAGCAACGTCGACAATGATAAACGTCTTTACTTGCTGCGCCGGCGAAAAGACCGGGCCTGGCACGAGGCAGACAGGTTTTGCCGGTAGGAACAAAGAAACGTAAAGATCATAGAACTCCTCTCTCTCTCTTCGGCGGTCGGCAGCGCAAAGCGGGATGGAGTGCCGACAATAATAGAGTAAGTTATGAGAGTTGAACAACATCAATTGTCCCCTCCCTCCTCCCGAATGAATTACGTGCGACATCCGTCGAAACTGTCGAAAGAGATGCACCTTGATACATCGTAACCAACGATGTAAAGTGACGGTTCTCAACGTTAGCTATATTGTCGCAACTTCCAAGCTGCGCCGCGTTTCTGAGGAGTCGCATATATTACGGAAAATTAGTGGAATACAGAATACTTGAACGAATATTTTTCACATTATCATCGTTTTCTTAACTAGCGATTATCGAAAATGAAGATCGATCTATAGTTAGTTAAGTACAGAAGTTTGAGAAATGCTGATGTAAAATATTGAACTTAGACCATATTATTAAATGTACTTTGGATTTTTTGATAGATTTATATTGAGTAGCCGAATTGACAACTACTTTTATTTTTGCATATTTAAAGCAGAATTTTCTTTATTTGTTTCGACATTCTCAATTAATAAAAAAGCAATTTTGGTAGCATTTATCAAATATTTATTTATTTTTATAAAATAAAAAAATATTTTTTGATATTACGTCTTTTAACAAGTATACCGTAGCTAATAATGATCAAAGACTGTGTATCTATCATCCAGTTAACATCTGCTAGAAATAATATTAATATTATAATTTCCCACTCAACAACGTAGCTGTCATGTAACATCATGTATTTTATTACATTTACATTGAGAGTGCGAAATTATAATATTAATGTTATGTTACTTTTACTTTATGTCGATTAAAATAAGTGCTAAGAGAAACTTTTACAAAATAATGATTACAATAATTATATATAAAATTAAGAGAGAAACTAGTTGTACAACCAAGCTTTAAACGTGCGCACAGAGCGAGTGTAATTACAACCTGTCAAGATCTTTCAGCTCACTCGATCATCTCGCGACCTGTGCCCGAACGTGGGTCACATACGCCTATTTAAGTGGACTGTTTACAATTCAATGCCATACGGCGCATAACAAACTCGCATATACACCTTGATCAAACAAACGTCCGGAACTGTCGCGATCACGCTCGACATTGTCGCTCGATCATTAATTGACGCACATGAACGCATTTACACCGAGATTGCATTTCGCTAATTAATTATACAGCTATAGTTATACGGTTGACCGTGAGTCAATCATCGAGTCATGCTTGCAGGGTTGTCTCGGACGAATTAAAAAGCGCTGACAAAAAGATGTTGTGTTTCTTCAGTTGAAAGCAAATAATGAAATTGATTTTTTTCTCGTTGCATAAAAAGCGCGAATGACTTTGACAAAAAGATAAGCCTGTACTGATACACGTTTATTTACGCGAGCATTCTTGATAATAAATCTACAATTATCTTCTCTTTAAAAAAAAAACTAGCATATCAATGCGATATAACGCGCATTATTTTTTTGTGATGTTACAATATAGTTTTCTTGATATTTTTTTATTGCAGTCACGATAATATACATATATTGTACCCAAGAAATAATGATATGATTTTTTTATTGAATCGTTAGAAGTTCAGTTGTGTGTACTTCAGTTCAGTTTTTCTGCATTTTTTTTCTTCGTCGATATTTAATACCTATTGTCTTGTAACGTTGGTGCCTTTTCCGTACAAAATGCACAAACTTATAAATAATCCACGATCACAGTGAAAAAGTCAATCAGAAATCCAATCATATTTCTTGCCGTGAATTAAAATGCATTAGCAAAATTATCGTTTCATGCACCGGAGAACGATCATTTTTTGCGGAGTATTTCAATAAAATCTTGGTAAGAGGTTAAGATAAATAGTTCGTCGTAAAAAGAAGTTTAATGAGATTTGACATTGTCGTAAATGATAACGGAAAGGATTTTCGCGACGACTATAGAAAGATGCGCCATGTGACATTAATAATTTCTGTCTATATAATAGTTTCTGACAATAATCAATACTGAGAATCGTTAGCAGCAAATTACTATGAACTGCAGGAATATTGGACGGCTTCATATTATTATAATTATCGTAAGAATATTTGTTCCAATGATAATATGAATAATTATAGACTTGACTTCCGTGCTTCGAAATAAATATCTTCGAGACGTACACACAGTAAAAAACATTTTGTATTTGTTAAAATTTTGTGTAGGATTTTTAACATATCTGAGTGTTAGTTTAATATATTTGTGACTGTGTTATAACATAATATGATTATGTTATTTGAATATTATGTATCATACTAAATTAATATTTTTACATATCAGTCTTTCTTAGTGTCAAAATGATACAATTTATGAATAAATAAACAAATATTATAATATAAAAATAATATATTTTAAAACGAAAATTTTAAGATAAGAGTAAATAAAATTCATGTTAATTTAACATATCATAAATGTTAATTTTACTGAAAAAATAAACTTCCATAATTTTCTTACAAATTATATCAGTGCTACATTTTTTGTGTTAATTTTTTTACATAATATTTGTGACATATTCATCTTGTGTTAATGTTAAATTAACGCAATCTGTGGATCGTTTGAGATATATGAAATTCGACACAAATTTTTCAATCGCGTAGAAATATTATAGATCGAAAATCTATTGTACAAATCGTATACTAGAATTCAAAAATAATATACTAGAAATAGATCGAATCTTTACGTATCTTTGCGAGAGAAATGACTGTTTTGAAAGAAAATATGTTGATTACGAATGTAAAAATATTTTTGTTCCGAATCTGTAGAATTATGAGGGCGAGTTTTTGGAATCTATTATAAATTTGGTAGAGAAAAAAAGGGCAATAAAATAACACGCAGGTGCAGTGAAGTTCGTCGATAAACCAGAATCGATTAGACTTCATCTAAAAGCTAAAAAATATTTTATTGAAACTTTTTGTTATTTATTAATCTTACATGCAAAAATCAATAAAGTGCAAATAATTAACTTTTCCAAAAAAATTGATTTGTTAACCAGTACGAAATCCATGATCTCTTTAATTGATTAAATTGTTTACCATGATTTTCTACAGATATTAATAGCTAATAAAGTTGATTGCCTATTTCATATTATAACCATATTTCTTTGATATTTTACTACTTAGTAGAGTTCCAATTAAAGATCACAGCCTTGTTGACGCAATCGGTATATTATGGAAGAAGATGGCATTACAATGCATCATTTTCATAATTGTTAAGCTCGTTTAGTATAACACTCTCACACTAACACGCAGGTTCTATGTAGATTATCGATACACAAAGTCAAAGATTTTCCATTCATTTACACAACAGAATAATTTTGCCTTAAATTATCGTCCTTTTGAAAATGAAATATCGACAACTCGCCGAAGTTTCGATATGTAACAATTTATGGTGCGATTGACATCAAAATAGTTGAGAATGTTAAGGCCCTTTTTTTAATACAAATAAGAGGAAGAATCCTATATTTGTTCGAAGCGGATTTCAGTGCTTAATAATATTCCTATACGTAAATTTTTTAATATATTTTTCAGTTCTACACTGTTAAATTCATAATGTCAAATTATACCCGCTATTTGAGTTATTTTTAATCATTCCTGTAGGTCATCACTGCTTCTATTCAATATGTTATTCATTTACAACAATTTAACTCAAGAAATTAGTTTAAATTTCTTTCTTTAATATTTAACAGTGTATTGCAACGATTCGGTTTATCGGAACTTCAAACGTAATCATAAACTGAAGCTGGAAGTATATTACAAATTATGTTTTCTTTAGTGACTCTCTCAGAATATTGAAAATCCAATAAGAGGGGGGAGGAAATTTATATACATTACATGATTTTTTAATTTATTCAGTGAGTCGTTGAAAAGAAAAAATCTCAATCATATATACGTGCAAAATTGCCATGATCATAATCTATGTGCAATACCCTCATCACGTGATATTGTTTTTCCTCGGATTCTTCCAATCGGACTCGATACTTCCACTGTACCTTGACCGATTCGTGGTGAGAGACGCGACGCAGGTCGAGCCGAGTGCAGTATCGACATTGTCTCTCGTATCAACGGTTCCATTTATATACTTTTGTAGAAATCGTGCTAATTACGTTGAAATCCTTCGCCAATTTCATATCCCATCCAACCGCGTTTCTGAAACATCCCCGCGTTGTGAAACTGTAATTCCAAATGTCAAACCGCGCTCGTCCGATGCCCGACATACGATATGTTCAGAAGAAGCATTCCGTATTGTCGTGTCGGAGAACAAGCATTGTCACGTTGGCGCTACCGGAAATCGGTATGAATATTCAATCGCCGCCCGAGTTTCGCATCGCACGCTCGTAACAGGCGCGGATCCGTATGTATGTACGTACATACAAACTCCGAAATCCTCTTTTCTTTTCCTCTTTCTCTCTTCTTTTTTTTTCTCCTTCGTCTGGGCAAAGATTATTTGAATGACAGAGCGGCGGGTCGAGAGGACCGCGTACGAGAGGAGTGTCCCGGAGATATGTCACACGATCTGAACTCCTCGTCGTCGTCGTTCTCGGAACGACCGTTGGACGATGATGCGAGAGACGAGCATCTCGCCAGGTGGGAAATCGCGGTGCTGACCAGCATATTCCTCATCACGATCATCGGTAACGTCCTGGTCCTGTTGGCTCTTTACGCTCGGCGACGTTATCAGCGACGAAAATTCACCAGGATGTACTTTTTCATCATGCACTTGAGCGTGGCTGATTTGTTGACGGGTCTGTTCGACGTTCTGCCGCAACTCGCCTGGGACATAACGTTCAGGTAAACTGCACAGTCATTCCAATTAACCTTATGACTCTTTTAATGAGTTTTTGTTAACCAATACGTAAATTTTCATTTTGCGCCGAAGGCAGCAATAACGGGAAATATGAGCGCATTTGTTTGTCTGTGACAACTATCATGGTTTTTTTTCACCATGACAATTACTGTTAATCATGATAGCCTAACGGTATCGTTTCTTTTATTCATCAGTTATTTTATTTAGACCCGCTTGCGAAGCTAAAACTCTCTCCCTCTCTGTCTCGGCTTTAAAAAGGGAGAAAGACAGTTTTAAGTCTCGCTAAAAGTCAAAGTAATGTTGGTACAATTAGGCCTTAGACTCATAAAAATACTAATCCTTCACTGCAGCTATGAAAGTTACATCTAACAATAAGTTCTAAAATGCTCTGTTTGAAGTACAGAATGCAAGTGAACCTTTGCCTTACAGCGATTGATAGAGGAACGTTCAAAGTTCTTTTACCTACAATTTAGAACTTCATAGTATCAATCAGATTGCACCAATCTGCAATCGTCTAAAATTTTCGCTTCGGGTCCAAATGACTCGTTGCTGTCGTTGTTGATGTAAACGAGGGTTAAATATTAGGGTAGTATAATATTTGACTCTCTATCTAAAATAATTATTATCCTATTACTCAAATGTAGATGTTTGAATTACATACGTGTATAATTTAAGTCTGGATATTTGAAAAGTTGCTTTGAGAAATTGGAGAAAAAACTAATCGCAGAATGTAACAGAATTTATCGAAATTATGTATAACTTTCATATACCTACTATAAATTTAATAGTTTTATAATTATACACGGTAAAAATATTACAAATATAATGTATACTATAAAACTAGGAACAAGAAAAATAATCTTAAAATTAAATACTTTTCAATTTTGATAATGGAATATTAATTGATTTACATACTCATACAATAGACAGGTTTTTTCGACTGTAACGATACTTTTCGCTGTGAAAAATATTTTTCAGAGCTAGCAAAAAAAATTGAAATAGATAAATAATGGACTAAATAAATAAATAAAAGAATAATAGAAAGATAAATTTAGTATTCATATAGTTTTAAATCGTATATAGAAAAATATGATATATACAGGTAATACCGTATATAATGATGGAAACGAATCAGAAATCTTTCTTGAGTTAAGTTTAATCACTGTCGCGATTGACAGCGAATAACCATCTTAAAGTTCTGAAATCAGGACAGACTTTAAGAAAAGCAGTATAAGCAGATACACCTTATATTTTCCCCAGCATAATCATGTATATTGACACTTTGATTGATGTTAAGAAATTAAATTTATCCATCAAGAGATATGATGTATGATAGGATTAATCCAGATTAGAGCTTCTAACGTTTTGCCTTCATAGCCCAAGAATATTATTTGCTATTTTAATCAATAATTTATCGTAAAAAAAGGGTTTATTTTTTTCACAAAAGTAAACTTGTTAAAATTTTAATATAATAATCTTGATAAATAAATAACAATCGATATGTATAATATGAGAATAAGTTAATTGATTTTTAAAATATAAATTTCCATGTATAATTCTAAAAAATGTTCTAAAAATCTAAACTCGGAGAAATCTGTTCTCATCAAGTATCACGATATGAACGATCCGATTAAACAAAGTTGATTGTACGGCGGTCAGATTTCAGGGTGGTGCAGTGCTCTGTAAACTGATCAAATTCGGACAGCCATTCGGCCTGTATCTCAGTTCCTATATCCTGACGGTGACCGCGATAGACAGATATCATGCCATTTGCCATCCCTTCAGTTACTGTAGTGTCACATCTCGAAGATCGAAAATGATGGTGTACGGAGCGTGGACACTCGCCGCTATGCTGTGCGTACCGCAGGTCTGTTGAAAATTTAATTTGCTGTCTCTCCGCTTCCCCGCGAGACGTATACTCTCACGATCCACCATGCCATCCGCGAAAGATGGACCAGCTTACTTGAGATATTAATTTTTATCCTATACAGACAGCGGGCACAAATCTAATAGCGCTGACACGCTAATTTGCACAGAAAAAAATGGTTTTATTAAAGTGTCTAAAAATTCAACTGGATACAGATCTGTAAATAATGTTGTTGGACTATCAAAATAATTATATAAGAAACTTAAGCACAACAAGTAATGTTGCAAAAAGTTTTAACATTCTAGCAACCAGTTTGAACAATTTACATAATTATTTTGATGTTCAACAAAATTATTTTCAGATTTATATCTATTTAAATTTTTAAATACTTTGACAAAATTGTTTTCCATATATCAACATACTAATTATTTGGGACTTGTCACTTATAAATGTCAATGCATTTATAAGTGACAAGCATATTTTGTACTTCGCAAATTTCTTGATATTTTTGGTAAACGTATCTTTAGAGCAACCATCGGACAATCGTAAACGTCGATGCGTTTCTTGTTGCAAATTACAAATCTCTTTCATTCAATAATTTTAGATTTTTATATTCTCATACATGGAAATATCGCCCGGCGTTTGGGAGTGTTGGGCCACCTTCTATCTGAAATATGGCGAGAGAGCCTATATTACTTGGTAATATCTATTCATATATTTTTTCATTATAACATATCTATTTTTATAACATTTAATAGATTTAAGCCATGTGAGATGTCTGGATTCAATTATAGGTACAGTGTTATGCAGTTCCTATTACCCTTCATAGTGCTCGTATATACTTACACGAGAATATGTATATCGATATGGAGAAGTAGTAAACTATCGGGACTCATTGATCTTAAAAGAAGCAACAAAGTCAGTTTCTGTCAGCGAAATCGAGATCCCCTTATTTCCAAAGCAATGATCAACACTGTAAAACAAATGATCGTTGTGGTTACTTTATACATCGTTACCAATATCCCATTTATCGGATGCGAATTATGGGCAACATGGGATCCTAAAGCTTCCAACTCGCCATTTTTTGCCGGTAAATATCCTGTCAAAGAGTAGTGACAAATAATAGTATATATATCATAATAATATAAATAAAAATAGTACTAATCACTTTCATTGTTACTGACATTTAGCAATTCAGAAATTTGAATTATTATTCTTTCAATCAAAGTATAATTGGTTAGAATTCATAACACTTATAATAAAATTAATTTATTATTATGTATGTCGTCTTAATTTATATTGTTATTATAGATACGTGTTAATATGCAAAAAAAGATAACGGGATCACCCATATTTTATGGATCTAATGTTTCTGTAATATTTCCCTAAGGTATTAAATTACTTATTAATTCTTATCTCATTGTATGCATCATAACTTGCAGGGGCTGCTTTCACTATTCTAAGTCTCCTAAATAGTCTCACGAGTTGCGTTAATCCTTGGATTTACTTTGCATTTAACAAGGAATTACGTGCGGCGTTGACACACTTTTTCTGCAGAAAGAAAGATTATTCGTTGACTTACGGTAATCATAATTTTTCACTTGTCTCTCCCCCCTCTCTCTCTCTCTCTCATGTGTGTATTTGTATTATACCGTCAAATATTTGGATCACAAGAAATATAAACGTTATATTTATATGCTATTTTCTTCCAGATATAGATGCACGTCAAAATGCGTCGGATGTACCCTCTTCAACATCGTCGTTTATTTCTAGAATCTCGCGACTTGCGAGTTCAAAGATATTCGGGTAAAGTGGAAATAAAACAAAGTTTGCATTTTGAGGAGGACTGTTTTGAATATAAAGAATACACCGAGAAAATATAGTTGATGCATATATACATTTCGTGGGCGTGTAAATGTGTTTGGTGTAACAATGTCGGAGCGTGCAACTTCTTTCCGCGAGAACTATTTATTTAATAAAAATTATTTATTAAGAATCTGTTAAAAATACCTGTGAAAGGACTCTTTTACAGAAATATTTTAAGATACAGCCAGCGATATAGTTTAAATATCCACTGTCACGCGAATTTCGATCACTTGAAAATGTAGAGACAACATTCGACTTCGCGTATCTGTTTTACGACTGACGAAAGCACGGCACAATTTCAAATTTCTTTTCCCCTCGTATTCGTAATTCTCGTCGCATCTCCGCCCACGGTGCGTCATCCTTTACGATCTGTTATACTTGCACAGTTCCACCTCATTAGTATTTCCATCGGTCGCGCGTCTATTATGTTCCGATGTTTGTACTCCCATTTTTATCCCGATCATCCCAGAGACTCTCATACGTATGCTAATATTATACACCAGGTATGGACATCTATCTAACAGCATTCTAGTTAGTTTCTTTTGCAGGTACAAATAACTTTTTTAAAAAATATTTTTTATTATGCAAGCGTCAAACACAGTTGAGAGCGAAATTTCTTCTCAACAGATTAAATTGTTGCTAACCGAGTTACAAACAATTAACATCAATTCTCCAATTCTGATCGGTGATTTAAACTGAACAAATTGTATACATAATATGCGATACATTAATTTCGTGTAAAAATCGTAGATAAACATTATTACAATAATTATAAAAATTAGCTTAATATATTGCAAAAAAATAATGGTCATTTGCTGTAATTATTTACAAATTTTTGTGAACGTTTTCTTGTTATTATTAATAATTTTTTAATTCTCCATTTTATATGCATAGTACTCAAGTACTCTATTAAGAATACTATACTCGTGATACTTTAGACAGGGCTCATATAATATTCGATACATTCCTCTCTCTTCTTGGTTGCGACAAACTGAGAACCTCTGGCACGGAACACCTGAATACTTAATAAACGGATAAAATTAACATTAATAACGACTGTCTGTGGCTGATCCACATCTTATCCGAGGACAAACGTGGCCGCTAGACCCACGTGATAAATGCCTTACGATACTTCGTCGAGAAGGGCGAACCGTCAGTTTTTCACATCGTTTCTCTTCGATACGTCGATGGGTGATATCAGGGTTAACGAAGACGTGCCGTTTGTGCTAGATCGGGTGTCCGCGATGGAACAAAATTCGGAGGAGTATTGCGCCGAGCCGGTGAAGAACGAGGTAGAAGCAATCGAAGTGATGCGACACTACCGCAAAAATGTAACGCCACAATATTGCTCGATAATTGAACCATTATCTTTTTTACTTATTTACTTCGTACATAAGTGTAGATCGATGTGAACTTTTGTAATATAAAAGATCCTTTTATATTACAAAATACACTCTGTGTATTTTGGATTCAGATTTCCCGAGAAATTTTTATGTATTTTACATTTTGAGAAACGCGCCTTTTCTCGCAAAATAAAATAATAATACACATTACCGTTCAAAAGTTTTACTACACTTTCGATTTATGAATATTTTGTAAAATATGAATATAGTTTGCATGCATTATGTTTAATTTATTATTACATATTTTCACTAAAATTAGAAAAAAGAACTTATTTTTTCTCAGACTTTTTACTTCTTCAAACTTAATCTCCTTAAGTTTTGATAGAAACTAAATTCTCTCTTGGCATTTTGTCGATAGTCTTCAAGTTTCTTAATTAAAGACTTGTGTTTAAGTCTGGCGCTTAATTTCTGCGAGAATACATTGTTTCCATTTTCTTATTGTTAGTTATTATGATAACCAAATATTTATTGGTGTTTAGTACAAAATTTGAAAAATTGATATTTCCTTCAATCAATAATATAATGCATAATATTTGTCTATTTAAGAAATTTATTTATAATTTCAGTTTATAATTATTTTTCAGCAATTCACAATTCTACTGAATATTTCGTGACCGAAAATAAGAGAGTATATCGTATTATAATTGCATATTTTACAAATGAAAAATGGAATTATGTTGCAAAAACATAAAATGTACTAAAACTATTGATTGGTAGTGTATTCTTTGAGTCTCATATCTTTTATGTTCATTTTTTAATTTTTTCATTATCTTTTAATTTTTCAATTTAATGTACTACCAGGACGATTTAGAACAATTTGAAACTTGTTTTACAATATTTTATCCCTGACAAATATTTTAGCGTCGCATTTATTTCCGTATCGCGATCATTTCTTACGATGAGAAGTCAACGCGTTAAGAAATCACGTTCAAATATCAACATTGAAAAATAGTTAAAAAAAAGGCAAATTTATATTCTAGTCTGAAAACGAAAGTAACGACGAAGATTATACTCATTCGCCGGTGTTACTAGATCTAGACGAAAATTTGAAACAGCAAAAAGCAGCGAATCGGGAAGCAAACTCGCCAAATTGTATAGTGCATCAACAGGATCAAGGATTGGCACCAGGTATGCAAAGGAGGTATTTTGAACTTGTATATTTAGAATACAAAAAAAGCTATACTCATTCTTATTACATACCAATTAAATCTACACGGAAAGAATGATTTTGCTGGATACATCAAATCTGAAAATAATTTTGTTAGACCATTAAAATAATTATATTGGAAAATGATGATTAAAAACGATGAACAATCCTCCAAAAACTTTGATATTCTAGCAACAAGTTTAAGTTTCCAACAAATTTGTTTTAATAGTTCAACAAAATTATTTTCAGATTTGTATTATTAGCAAAAATTTTTAATCTTTCAGCAAAATTATTCTTTCTATATATATATATATATATATAGTTCTTCATTTATTAAGTCGGCGTAATTGCTCGATTTTTTATATATATTTACGATTTATATATTTACGGTTTTCGTAAATATGCATAATTAATGGTGAATGTAAAATTGTGTGTGCGTATTATTAACCGCGCGTACATTATTTTTATAGACGAAACAACACGGCCGCAGGCTATAAGAAATAGGTGGCAAGAAACGAGCTACGAGACACGCGACCAACAGAATCCTGAGGGAGTGCTCGTGATTAGAGTACCGGAACCGGAAATAATCGGCAGCCATCCGCATCTCGAGATACTCCATGAGGCCAACATTAAACCGATGCAACGGGAGCCATTGCAAACTGAGAAAGGTGCGGCAATGTCAAATTGCGCGTTACCTGGTGAGATCACATCCACGATTGAACTAATCTACATGCCTTATAGAAATGAGCGATAGCAAAGATCAATGATTTTCAGATATTTTTATCATGCTAAAGCTTAAGAACTTTTTGCCACAGACCACCCCTTACCGATACCAATTTGATGGACTTTATTATTGTTTTAGAAGTATGAAATATGCAAAATTCTGACTATTATGTACAGAGGATGAACAAAATAATGGATACCTGGGAAATATATTACTTGTTTTAATAATAAGAGATTGGTTTATCATTTGCCCTTATTCTAGAGATTCAATCCTTGGAATACAATGCTTAAACTGGAATGTTGTATTATTCTTCTAGCAAAACGTCTTTCAATTATTTATATAAGTGATATTGGAGAAGGAAATTTGCATCTCACTTTATTTTACAAAATTATTCTCTGTTCTCCAAGTAATCCGAGAATATATAATCATCCAGTTTATTTTTGCGTAAATGATTACCTGGGGGTACATCCCAATTAAAAGTTACTATTATTGACTATGTATTGTATATTATTGAATGTTCTTATACAATTTATTAGTATTTCAGATCATTAGGTATATAAATTTACTGAATATTTAAAAAAAATAAAGAAAAATAATAGATATAGGTTCTCAATCAGTACAAACAAAACTGATTGTAAACTTTATTTTTTCGCCATTGTAGTATAATAAATCAGCTGATTATTCCCAGATTAAAGACAAATGAGCCAATCTCTTGTTAATAAAACAAATAATGTATTTCTCAGATGTTCACATTATTTTGTCTACATCCTATTATACGCCATGCTAAAATAAAACGTGAACGTGTGAAAACGCGTTTATGACAAAAAATCAAGCCGAACGAGCGATCTGAAATTAAATTTTTTCTCGAAGTACCAGTTTCCTTAAAGCAGGAGAATTAACAGAGAGGGCTGCTTAATTGTCGGACTTTCGCAGTTAGTCGCAGTTCTCTCCTGGCAGCTTTCGGCAAATGTACACGCAGCTCTCGCTCCAACAGCATAACCCGTAGATTTTTGTCACGTGTCCGCTGTATCTGTCGCACGAGAATCGAGGGATGATGCTGCCGCTTCTCGCGCGACTTATTTTCCGTCACGGCGCTCCCGTACCGACTCGTCTCGTCCCTGTGGAGGAAGCGCGAGTACGAGACATGGCGCATGAATATCAATTCGACCGGAACGTATGCACGTATTTCGTAAAAAGGACGAGCTATTTTCGCGTCACGGCTGCATTCAATTTTAGGTGCTAGCACATTTTTATACCGATGCGCCGCGTAACGCGTTTAAAATTATTTGTAAACGTGCGTGTCACGTAGCGTCGGACAAACTGCGTACGTAAAATCGCGAACTCAATTTCTGACTACTCGGCCGGAATTCTACGAAACTCACGCGTATAAATCAGTCGTAAAATTCACAACTCTCGCATTTTTGTAATCAATTCTAACGCTTGCAAATTGAACGAAAATCTCAAATGCATATCACCTCATTTTTACATTAATTTCCATTAATGGATTCTGTGCAACGTTAAGTGTTTCAAATTATAAATTTCCTTTGATCCCTTTCCTTTCATTTTTCTCCACCTATCAATCTCTCTTCCTCAATGTTTAATTAATTTAATTTCAATTAATCAATCATTTTCAATGCTATTAACTTAAAATTTAGAACTGTATTAAAAATGGCAAAATTTAGCTTTTGTTAGATATTCATTTCAAATTCTGAAGTATTAGAATCTTTAAACAATAGAGTTTCAAAGAAGTTTCAAATTTTTATGTTTTAGGATTTTTAAACAATAAGTATACTCGCAAACTATATTATATACCTAT